CTAGGCGACGTAGGGCTAGTTGACCGCTTCGAGTGGGCAATCAACTCCCGGCTCCGTGAGAGCATCTACCAGCTCCGCCCTATGCCCATCACCTGGGCCGAATGGAAGCGTGAAGCCATGCTCCTTGACACCCAGTGGCGGCACTTCCAGAGGATGCAGCCATGCACGCCCCCACCTGGGCCCCCTCCACCTGCCCCACCCACGACCCCTGTAACCCGTCCCAGACGAGAGACGAACCTGCACCCTGAGACCCGCCAGACCCAACGCCTGCACCCGGAAGACCTTCAAACGCTGATGAAGGGGCTGAAGGGCCAAGCGACGAAAGGACCAGAGGCGGGAGGGAAAAGACTAGACCTGGACCCAAGAGGACGCCCGGAGACCCAGCCTGTGAGGAGCACACGCCAGCCACCCACAAGGGATAGCTCACGCAGACGCCACGATGCCCAGGAGCCGTCACCAGCACCGAAGCTCCATCGAGTCATCGCAAAGAAAAGGAGAAAAGGAGCACCCCAAGCCTGCAAGGATGAGGAAACCACAGAGACGGCCCCAGAGGTAGCAGTGTCCCCACCTGCTATCTACGTCCTCTCCAAACGGTCCCTGAGATCCCTCAACCTTGCCGTGAGGCTGACCTCCCTAACCTCCCTTGCCTCCGTGTCTGTATCAGCGCTCCTAGACTCAGGAGCCACCGGAAACTTTGTGAGCCCTGAGTTCGTCCGGAGACACAAGCTAGAGACCACCCCGCTCCCCACACCCATCCCTGTCTGTAACGTCGATGGAACCCCAAACGAGAACGGGGCCATAACCGAAGAATTAGAGGCCCTCTTGACATTCGGATGCCATACAGAGCGGGCCCGCTTCGCAGTTGCGAACCTCGGGCGACAGTCCCTCATCATAGGACACTCATGGCTGCTGCACCACAACCCGGAGGTGGACTGGGTACGGCAAAAGGTCATCATGTCCCGCTGCCCATCCTCCTGCCGGCCACCACGAGCACAAGGTGACCAAGACCCCACGCTAGAGCCTGGAGACGGGATCTATACCACGATCATTCCTCCAGAGTGGGGACACGAGCTAAGAGCAACTACCACACCCTCCCAGCGGATGGCCCAAGAAGCCCAAGACCCGGAGGCGGAACCCGTATCGTTCGAGGCACTGGTGCCAGAGCAATACCAGGATTTCCGGGATGTGTTCTCGAAAGAGGCCTTCGATCAACTACCCCCCCGGAAACCCTGGGACCATGCCATTGATCTAGTGCCGGATGCCAAGCTCCCCAGAGGGAAGACCTTCCCACTCTCGCGGCCAGAGCAGAAGGAGCTGGACGAGTTTCTGCGAGAGAACCTGCAGAACGGATGCATCCGACCGTCCAAGTCCCCGATGGGGGCCCCAGTCTTCTTTGTTAAGAAGAAGGACGGGTCACTACAGCTAGTTCAGGACTACCGGAAACTGAATGAGATCACGGTAAAGAACTCATACCCGCTCCCGCTCATCTCTGATGTCCTGGCCCGCCTCCGCAATGCCAAGTACTTCTCAGCGCTAGACTTGCGCTGGGGGTTCAACAACGTCCGAATCAAGGACGGCGACGAGTGGAAGGCCGCATTCGCAACCAACCGAGGGCTGTTCGAGCCCTTGGTAATGTTCTTCGGGCTATGCAACTCACCCGTGACCTTCCAAACCATGATGAATGACATCCTCCGGGATTTCATTGACCGAGAGGTTGTCATCTGTTACATGGATGTTATGGATATAGACTAGAATCTTATGGTCCGTGGGTGGACCCAGGGCCTCCCCCCATTTTACTTCTCCATCAAACCCCATGCCAAGCTTTCCCACCGGGTTTTGGTGCTGGCTGGGGGATTTGTTGAGTTTCAAGGGACTTCCCTTGACCATTATAACTTTTATATTAGATAGTTAGAAGTCATATGATGTGTAAGGCAGATGCCGAAAATGTTTTCTCATTATCGAATACATAACCCAAAAACCTTGTACCGCAATTGTAACATCCTCACCATTGTGCCACCACTGTAAACTCAATCTGTAACCCTGGAACCATGTCCACCTCCCTATTCCTCCTCTCCATGACAAAACCGCAACGAGGTGGGCATTCCCATGCCCAACCTCCTGCTGCCCACTCCCACCAGTCCACCGGGTGGTCGAGTGGTTACTCCCATCCAACCAGAAGTTCCCTATCAGGAACTGTAACCTATCCCACCTCCTCAGGAGAAGGATACGGTCCAGGCAGCTCCAGGATGCCTGGCCACGCACCCGCGGGTCCCACTTCCCACGGTCACCCACTACCGTGCACTGGTCCACCAGCCCGCTTTCCCCAACAACTCCCGCTACCGGTACGCTCCTATGAGCGCCAAGTCACCGATAGCCACCAACTGGGTGACTCCCTTTGGGAGTCCCAGTATCCCTCACTACCGGTACGCTCCATTGAGCGCCAAGTCACCGCTAGCCACACACTCCCCGCACACCCGCTACCGGCATGCTCCCAGGAGCGCCAAGTCCCCGTTAGCAGACAGCCAGGTGGCTCCCTCAAGGAGCCCACATCATACTCGCTACCGGTACGCTCCCAGGAGCGCCAAGTTACCGTTGGCCAACACACAGGTTACACTGCCAGACACTCATCCCATTCCGCTCTCCCTCCGATGGCTATGCAGCCACCTCCATTAGTGAGCCGAACGGCTCAGGTTGGGTTCCCCGGAACCCGTTCCTGTAACATTGGTGCCCCAACCCCGGTCGCACCGTCATCAAACTCAATCGTGCGACCTCGAGCTCACACACAGGAGGACTACTCATCTAACTTAGGCACTGTCAACTCAGACTATCGGTATTCCACCATCCCACTACAGCATGCGCTAGACAAGTTTTCATCACCACGGAGACTCTATTATGAGCGCGCGCCTATGGACATGCTACATGAATGGCAACGGCTGGGCCCAGACGACATAGAGGTTCAGTCATTCCGCAAACTGATTACAGGCTCCTCCGCCTCCTACCGTCTCATTGATGAGCGCTGTAAACAGCTGACCCTAATCCTTCACGCGATGGACCACTTCACCCAAACCATCTCCGGTTCCGACCTCATCCTTGCCACGTTCAAGGCAGATCCAGAACAGATCATCTACTCCACATTGATCACGTCAGGCTGGACTGAGCTAAGCACCTTACATCGAATTTGGAGCTATCTACAGCGAAAACTAGCTGACTTTGTTCTGCACTTTGAACACGCTAAGGAGGTCCTCACCCTCACACAATCCCGAGCAGCGAGCTCCTGTTTCGTCACAACCGACCCCTCATTGGCACCAGTACGACTTTGCACACCTGAGGTTGTTGCAATCTCGTCCGCTGCAGAGAAGTCGAAGTTGCCCCCGCCGCACCTGTCCTCATTGCCAGATGGCACAGTTGCAGCCTGTACATCCCACTCAACACGCTGCAACAGCCCAATGCCCCGGTCTCATCAAATGACCGCACCTGGGCAGCACTCACTTGAGCTGGGACATCCAACAGTGCAACTTCGTCCAGTCCCGGCACAATTGTTACGCACAGGGCACTTCGCTAGCCTGATCTGCAACCAGGCTGAATCGTTGACATTGCCTGCTCAGCTGGATTTCCCAGTCACATCTCCACGACAATTACTTGGGCCAGAATCCCCGTCCGGGCTGCCCCATTTGGTTACGGCCCATTCAACGAGCACAATGGGTGCCCTTAGCCCATCATGTCGCAAACTCGAACCGTCATCATTGCCCATTCAGTCAAATCTCTCAACTGCTAGCTCACAATGCCTACCTGAGTTATCATGCTCGTTTGAATTGCTGCAGTCAGATGTGTCCTGTTCGTCTGGTGCAACAAACCCTGGCGGTACGGCACGACACATAGCGGAATCGACGCTCCCGAATATCCAGATGGACCCATCGTCTGCTCATTCACAGCACTCACTAGAGCCAGTACGCCTAGGCAAACCGACGTCTAAGCGCCTTATCCAGCTGGTTCAACTGGTTCCCCCTTTGAAGGGCTCACCTAAGCCAGCACACCCATTCGCACCACATTGCCCAGTACAGGCTGGTCCACTGAGTGCAACTCACACCACTAGATCGACATACTGCACGGTGGACTCACCATTTTTGCCTCTTCAATCGGGTCAACCAGCAGGTTCACTGAACATGATGCACCCTTCCAGCACGACGCCCCAGCGTTCATCGGAGCTGGCATGTCCAATTGAGTCAAATCGCTCAGATGTCATTTGCTCAATGACTGAGACGCACTCAGTCAGTTTGGCGCCTTCCGCGGCCCAGCTAATAACACCGTCTGGCCAGCGGAGCTCCATTTCGGGTCCTTCACAGTGTCTGTCCGAGCCGACACATTCAGGCGAACTGCATCGTGAGGTTGCAGCCTGGGCATCAAGTGCAGTCCACATCCCCAGCTCGATGCATTGCGCGCTCAAATCGACGTTCAAGCGCCCAACTGTCCAGTTACGCCCAGTTACACCCATGTGGCATCCATGCAGGTTGACACGTTCGAATAAGCTATCCAGCTCACTTTCCACAACCGCGACGCATGCTGCCAGGTTGATGTGTCATGTGGATTGTGCAGCCAAGTCGTCGTTCAGGTCCCTGGCCACCCAGTCAAATCAACTGGTTGTTTCCTGGCCGCACTCACTTGAGCCAGCACGTCTTTCCGAGCAACTTTGTTCGGCTACTGGTTGTCTACCAATCGCAACACACTCCCTCAGTGCTACATGTCGCAAGGTCGAAACATCGGCCTTGCCATGTCAATCAGGTCGCATAGCTGCCCCTTCGCAGTGCTCATCGGACCCAGCGCACCTGTCCGAACAATCTCATTCAAGCATGACTGGTCTGTCGAGTACAACAAGCTCCATCGGTTTGACAAGTTGCAGACCAGTCTCCACCAGTTTGTCACTGGCTGCGACATGTACCGTCAAGTTGATGCGCTACCCAGCCAATCAGACATTGTCACCCACCCAAACGAAATCTCTGATTATGTCTCTACATCATCCTCACAACTCAGAGCACTTGCCTGCGCTACTTCTGTCAGCGGTGGTCTGTCCGTCGAGCACCACACTCGCGATTAGCGCAAAGAGCCGCATAGGCAATCCCATGCTCCTGAATGGCCAGTCGGACCCATCGGCCACTCTTTCACTTCGCCCTTTTGAACCATTGCACTCACGTGTGCTCGATCACCCGGCTGCGACCTGTCTACCTAGTTCGACATGTTTCGACGGCTTAGTGCACCCTACCCTCCAGTCAGATCGAACGGTTGCCCCTACGCAGCACTCACTTGGGCTGGCGCGACCAACTAAGCAGCGTTGTCCAGTCACGGTCCCTTCATTCCTGACTGTACAACCGGACCGCTGGGACGCGTCTTCATGGTACCTACTCAAGCTAGTGTGTCCAGACGAACCAGACCACCCGGTTGTCATCTCACCTACCAAGCAGCTCTCTGTTGGTCTTTCATGGCAATCACCAGAGTTGTTATATTTGGATGGGTCACCGCCCCGCTCAGATACGGCCTCTCCATTGGGCATGACACATTGCACTAGCACAGCACATCGTGCCGTCAAATCGACGTTACCTCAGGCCCAACCGGCCCCCTGGGTTGCCAATTTGCGCCGGACTCCTGAGTCCGTGTGCGCGCTCGAGCCATATAGCTCGGTTAGGGTCTACACATCAATCATGCAACTCTTCCAACCAGACTCCTTAGTTGATGACCCATCAAGTTTGAGGTCCCTTACTAGCTCAATACTCTCGCCTGTTCTAACGGGCCTCCCAGCAGCTTATTCACATCGTCCCCAAAAGCTGGGGCACTGGTATGACCTGTATCATCCAGCTAGTGCTGGATTGGTGAGTGTAACGAACCCTATTGTTTCGACATGTCAAGCGACCGCATCCTCGGTCAGCCATGGTGTTCAGGCTCACGACAAAACTCTCAGCCGCAAAGTCAGCGCGTCCGACCCCCAGCTGGGCAGAACTCGGGTCATGACACTAATGTGGCGAGCTGGGGCTAAAGACATTTGTTCCCTAACCCTCTCACCCTTTGACAGTTGGACGCATGAACAGTTGTCTTCGCCTATCTGGCCGGATCCCCAGGTGAATCCTCCACATCACCTATATGAGTCAGGACACTCCCGTGAACCGCATCAATCAGTCATGAGTGGTTTGCCGATTAAAACGGGTCCCATCAGTTCGGTGGGCCAAGTGTCTGAACCATTGTCGTCGTCAGGTCAGCCGGTCATCCTTTCGCGTTCCACGCTTGAGTCTGCGTGCCTGTGTGTGTTGTGTCGCCTTCTGGCAGCATATACACCAACCACGACATGCTTCATCGATCTGGCGCACTTCAAGATCAAATTGATATCATCGCATGACCAGTTGGATTTTCCAGCCGTTCCTGCGCGTCAACCACTCAAGCTGCGCCTAAACGGACCATACAGTTCAGCACATCAACCCACTCAGGTTGAAGGGCAGCCCTCCATTCTCACAGGTGATCCGACTCTCAACAAAGGTCCCGGCCCCAAAATCTGCATGTCTAACCTCCAGCTGGGCGGAACTCAGATTGGGCATAGGAATGGGGTTTTTCACGGGTCCGCATTGAGCAATTCTGGGAGAACAACGGTATCGATGCGGTTTGGCTACGACCCTAGCGGGCGTCCTCCAGTTACCTTGCTCATCAACGGTTGGAATCATGAACTGACGTCCTCGTCTAACCAATCGAACCATCCAGCCGCCCCTTTGCCTTCCTCACTTATGTTGGCATGCTGGCACGTGCCGCACCGTTCGGCGGCAGCACACTCATCGATCATAATGCACCCTGTTAGTCCAAAGCGTCAAAGGAACACACAATCCATTGGCACTGGTGCGTTCTGCCTTTGTCCTGGCCACCATTCCACTCAGGTCGAAGGAAGGACAATCATCCTTATTAATGCCCTGGTACTCGACGAGGATCCTAGCTGTGGGATCTATGCGACTAACTCCCATCTGGGCGGAACCCAGATTATGATGTTAATGTGGCTATGCTCTATCTCTTACGTCAAGGGCTGCCACCCCCCCCCCATTACCTCGCCCATCGACGACTGGCACAACGAGCCATTGTCTCCGCTGGCCCAACCAGTTTCTTTGACTGTGGATTTGTGCCGTCCATTCGAGTCGGCACGCCTGCTTGAGCCTGTCAGCTCATTGGCGGACCATCTGCTTACCAAAGTGTCCCTCCAGCTGGACCCTCCGGCCGATTCTTTGTGCCATCTTATCAAGCCGGCGCGTCTGCGTGTGCCAGGTCACTCAGGGGTAGGCGAACTATCAAGCGCGACGCATACTGTTAGCTCGACATGTCATGTGGCAGAGCCGACGTTTCCACTTGCCCAGATGGACCACCCAGTGGCTCTTTCGTCTAGTTCTCTCAAGCCCGAGTGCTCGTGCCCTCTGTGTCTTATAGTCGGGGCTGGATGGTCGATTATGATGAATCACATCTGTCCGTCCGGCCAAGCAGTCGAACCGACCCCATTGTCCACTCACGCAGGATCTCTGATTCTTGCTACACACTCCTCTCTTGAGTCAGCACACCTGCAGTCGTCACACCACTCAGTAGCGACATGTTCGACGATCGCGACTCGTTCCACCAATCCGGTGTACCCAGCGATCGGGTTGGCATCCTCCTATGACTGGTTGGATCCTCCAGGCGTTCCTGCTTGTCAACTTCTTGATTCAGCATATCTGCCTGGGCTACGTTGTTTGCCGGTAGTCCATCTACTGATCCCAGTGCAATCTACCAAAACGATGTGCCGGGCATTTGGGATAACTCCCTCACGGGTCCACTCAGATCCTCCAGCCGATATCATGCACCGCCTTCTCGAGCTGGCGCATCCGTATGGCCTGTCTGTGGCCTGTTCGCCATTGGTAATGCCACTTGTCAGTTCAGCGCAATGCACGACCGAGTCGTCCTCACACGATCAGCCGCATCCACCGGTGATACCGGTCTGCTGTCCTCTAGAATCGGCGGACGCTGTGATCGCTCCCGTGCAACGTTTCTCTGAGCAGGTCCATTCACAAGCGCAGACACAGCCAGAGCCTGAGCTGTCGCGGACGGAGCTACTACAGGCACAACTGTCCAGGACGCGACTCGGACCCACCAAACGGATATATGCCATGACATTATGCTTGGAAACGACAGGTATGTTACGAGCGCCGCCGTGGTACCACCCTTGTGAGGTGTTGTACCTGCCGGATATGGCATGCCACACCTCCAAGATATCGTGGCGGTCATCAAACGCAGCACATCCACCTGCCAAGCTCTGCTGTTTGAAGATCTCTCATGCCCAGCCGAAGGTGATCCTCACGGCAGTACAGGTTCTCATCCAGACCACAACTGCGGTTAGTTACTCGCTGGGCCCAACCAAGGACAAACCTGGGAAGATCTTCTATACCCCGTTAGTGCTTTCAGGTGGTCCTAAGCCTGGCGAATTATGCACCGCACGGAGCTGTGCAAACTCAAGGCCAAGAATATCTATATGGCATCACGAGATTGACAACAATAAAATCCTGTCGCAAGTTGTCCTTTTCCCTGCTGGCAGACTAAATACTACTCTGCGTTGTCACGCGAGCCTGAACCTCGGTAGAGGAACCGTCGCCTTGACTCTGCCTGGAGGCTCGCAGTGGCACCCCCTACAGGCCAACTGCCTATCTATCTCAGCGTCCTCAACCGCTTTTTCAGACCAGTTGAATCCGATCGTCCTACTGCACCCTCCGGGATGGTTCCATTATCTGATCAGACGAGAAAACTCGCTTCCCAACCTGGTCCACCCTGTCTCCCCAGCAGCACACGGTATGGTTGGTCCATCTCGACTGACTCCTGAACCCACACAATCCTCCCGTGTCCTTGCACACTCACCCTCAGTTCAGTCACGTCGGCCCAGTGTGGGTGGAGAGAAGTCGAGCCATCAAGGTCCAGAAACCAGGCTTCCAGAAAGTCATTTCCTTCGCCATAGGACCGCCCCAGAGGAGACTTACATCAGACAAGCCTTCAGCGACACCTTATCATTGCACCCGTTGAATACAAAGGATGAGAGATCCAACTCGGGATCAAACGTATTAAACGAACTAGCCTCTCCCTCTTCCCTTCCAAGCCACCGCTGAGACTCCCGGTCTCCACCTCAGCTCCCATATTGGGTTGCTGCACATAGGGAGGGACACATGCGGCCCAGTGAACTTATTTACTAATGTTTGGCAGCCATGGCTGATCGAAATTCGCTGGGTAGCATCAGGGGCTGGACTGAGAGTTGGACCTCAGTGCGCAGCCAAGATGTTGCCAGCTACATTTCTCAACTGCCTGGTGGTCTCCATGCCTCTGGTCGCGGGGGGGGGGAGCTATCTGTACCCACAACAGACATCAGCAGTCACGCAATTTCCGCTTTCTTCGCATCAAACCCTCTTGCGTCGCGGTCCCAATTACGACCAGACTCATCGAGTCCCACACCATCGATCATCACCTCCCAACGGAGGCTAGGCCCACCCCAGTACCGTATGCGTATCTTAGCGCCTAACCTGGTCATTGCTACATCACTTGGGCTGGGCGGCCTCATACCCTCATGAACTTGTGCGTGTTAGTTTTGATAGCGGATTGTCCCTTCCCATCAAGTCGCCCGATACTCTTTTAATATCCGTTAACCCGTCGAACGGACCTGATGAAGCGTGATCCGAGGTCAAACCCTTCGAACTTTCCGCTCCTGCCAGAGATGAAGCATATAGAGAGACTTGTTTGCGTGCCATTACACGATTCTTGCGGGATAGGACATCGACTGGGAAGGACATACACACCGTTACAGTACTCCATCTTGAACCCACGCACACTCCCGTCGCACTCACCACGCAAAAGGAGCGTTGTCAAATGCACCCATGGAAACCAGCATGGCTGCTCGCTTCGGCAGGACCCCCCATATACTCTGAGTCGTTCATCAAGAGGAGATCGCCCGCTCGCGTCGAGGCTGTCTGCCACCTTTCGGCACCGGATTGTATCACCGCATTCCCACCACTGCTTGGTTGCCTGGTCGAGATATGGTACCTATGGATAAATAGCAGGTTCAAACAAGCTCGACACCGTACCTGGAACAAGATCGCGGGTCCCCGATATGGTCTTGCAGCGTGTTGGCGTGCATACGTACCCCATCCATGTCCTTGCCCACATACCGATGGCTCTATGGCCGACTTCAGTTCACAGGCACGCAGGAGCAGATATAGGGTAGGAGGGACTTCCCTCACTCGAGGATCCAATCCACCGAAGGTGTGATCACCAACAGAAGAGAGATTACAATTTCTCGTGGTTCTCCGTGCATGCAACCCAAAGCTAGGTCGCTCGAGGCGCATATTGAATGACAAACCTATATGAGATCAATACTGGCCCCCAGTGGGCCTGGAAGGCCTTAGAGTGACAACGACGATGCGATAGCTGCCCAAAACACAGAAGCGGGAACTATCCTAGTTTGAGCATCGGACGGTTTCCATTTTGGATGTAGTCCCCGAAGTCTACTCGAGCGTCATTTATCCAACTTGCAGGTCATACATTATGAGGCCCTCGCGATGTCTGGGCCGCTCTTGGTAGTCATCTGGCCAGGAAGTCGCCCTTCATGCCCTTCTTGCACATCTACTGCTCTCCGACACATTGTTAAGGCGGCCAGACTGCCTCAACCCGGGCCAGTACAACTCCGTCACTAACATCTGTTTCCAATGCGGGTTCATGAGCGACCCCGAGTCCACGGGTCATCCACTGCCTCACTGAGGGGTGTTGCAGCTAAATCAGGCACAATTCCTGTATTGTCTGGAATATTAAGCGATTAGCAGTACAGAAGCAGACATGCCTGTCCCGCTATATTCCATGTCAATCCCGGCATGTCTAGATTTGTCTACCTCACAATCAGGCCAATTTGTTAGAGGTTCACACTCACACCGAATTTGAGTTCCCTTCTTAGGATGAGACCTACCGGTTCCTGGACTTAGGTTTTCACTTTCATCCACTCAACCCTAAGGACCCAGTTGTCTGTCAGGTTCTCAGAGAGTCCACTCCGCGATCCAGAGTTCAGAGTGCCAGCCTGTTGTTACCACCTTGCCCCCTTTGGATTATCTCACTGGCCCATAAGAGTCTGGGGGGCGATGTTATGGATATAGACTAGAATCTTATGGTCCGTGGGTGGACCCAGGGCCTCCCCCCATTTTACTTCTCCATCAAACCCCATGCCAAGCTTTCCCACCGGGTTTTGGTGCTGGCTGGGGGATTTGTTGAGTTTCAAGGGACTTCCCTTGACCATTATAACTTTTATATTAGATAGTTAGAAGTCATATGATGTGTAAGGCAGATGCCGAAAATGTTTTCTCATTATCGAATACATAACCCAAAAACCTTGTACCGCAATTGTAACATCCTCACCATTGTGCCACCACTGTAAACTCAATCTGTAACCCTGGAACCATGTCCACCTCCCTATTCCTCCTCTCCATGACAAAACCGCAACGAGGTGGGCATTCCCACGCCCAACCTCCTGCTGCCCACTCCCACCAGTCCACTGGGTGGTCGAGTGGTTACTCCCATCCAACCAGAAGTTCCCTATCAGGAACTGTAACCTATCCCACCTCCTCAGGAGAAGGATACGGTCCAGGCAGCTCCAGGATGCCTGGCCACGCACCCGCGGGTCCCACTTCCCATGGTCACCCACTACCGTGCACTGGTCCACCAGCCCGCTTTCCCCAACAACTCCCGCTACCGGTACGCTCCTATGAGCGCCAAGTCACCGATAGCCACCAACTGGGTGACTCCCTTTGGGAGTCCCAGTATCCCTCACTACCGGTACGCTCCATTGAGCGCCAAGTCACCGCTAGCCACACACTCCCCGCACACCTGCTACCGGCACGCTCCCAGGAGCGCCAAGTCCCCGTTAGCAGACAGCCAGGTGGCTCCCTCAAGGAGCCCACATCATACTCGCTACCGGTACGCTCCCAGGAGCGCCAAGTTACCGTTGGCCAACACACAGGTTACACTGCCAGACACTCATCCCATTCCGCTCTCCCTCCGATGGCTACGCAGCCACCTCCATTAGTGAGCCGAACGGCTCAGGTTGGGTTCCCCAGAACCCGTTCCTGTAACAATGGATGACATCCTCATTTTCACCACTACCCTAGAGGAGCACTGGAGGGTCGTCCGGGAAGTCCTGGGAACGTTGCGAAAGAGGAGGCTCTTCCTGAAGCCAGAGAAGTGCAAGTTCGAGCGGATGCAGATCGAGTATCTGGGACTTATCATCTCCGAGGGGAGTGTTGCGATGGACCCTGTGAAGATTAGAGGAGTCCTTGACTGGCCCACCCCAACCAAGGTAAAGGAAGTGCAGTCCTTCCTAGGGTTTGTGAATTTCTATCGCCGGTTCATCAGAGACTTCTCTGAGAAAGCCTGCCCGCTTCATGCATTGACCCGGAAGACCAAAGTCTGGAACTGGGGCCCAGATGAGGACCACACCTTCCACACCCTTAAGGAGGCTGTCACCACTGCCCCCGTCCTCTCCTTCCCCACCAATTCCGGCCACTTCAGGCTCGAGTGCGACGCCTCCAACTTTGCAACCGGTGCAGTCCTCTCTCAGCTTCAGTCGGATGGGGAGTTCCACCCGGTAGTGTTCATGTCCAAAAGCTTTACGGACGTGGAGCGCAACTACGAGGTATATGATAAGGAGATGCTTGCGATTGTCTGAGCCCTTGAAGAGTGGCGGCACTTCCTGGAGGGTGCCAAGGAGAGGGTTGAGGTCTACACGGATCACCGCAACCTGGGGTACTTCTGCACGGCCCAGAGGCTGAACCGACGCCAAGCACGGTGGTCCCTCTTCCTCTCCCGCTTCTATTTCACCCTTGTCCACTGCCCAGGGAAGCTCATGGGGGAGCCAGATGCACTCTCACGACACGCTGACCACCTGAAGGGGAAGGATGACAACGAGGGGCTGACACTCCTCCAACCCACCTGGTTTGAAGCCCGGGCAACAGAAGCGATCTCGGTAGGGGGAGAGGAGGTGGGGATCCTAGAGAGGATACGTGGAGCGAAGGAGCATGGCGAGAGGGTGGTGAAAGCCATGCGGGAACTGGGAGAAGGGACCCTGAGGTCGGATGAATGGGAGAAGCAAGGAGAGTTAGTCCTATACCGAGGAAAGGTGTACGTACCGAGAGACCAGCAACTCCGCCATGACCTGGTACGGTTGCACCACGACACATGGGCAACGGGGCATCCGGGGCGATGGAAAACCCTAGAACTCGTTTCCCGTGACTACTGGTGGCCCCGGATGGCAGAGTATGTCGGGCGGTACGTACGCGGGTGCGATACCTGCAACCGAGTCAAACCTTTCCCCTCATGAAAGGTTGGGAAGCTCACCCCAAACAAAGTCCCCACCCACCGCTGGCAGATAATCTCAGTGGATATGGTAGGAGAGCTCCCAGAGTCGAAGGGGTACAACGCCATCCTGGTCATTGTGGACCGCTTGTCCAAACGCATCCACGCGATCCCCACCGTAATGACGATAGACTCAGCAGGCATAGCGCGGCTCTTCCTAGAACACATCTGGAAGCATCACGGGCTCCCAGAGGAGATCCTCAGTGACAGAGGGAGTGCCTTCGTCTCCCACTTCTTGAGAGAGCTCGCAGACCTCCTCGGAGTCAAACTCACCCCTTCAACACCCTACCACCCCCAGACGGACGGACAAACCGAGCGGGTCAACCAAGAAATCGAAGCCTACCTCCGAGTGTTTGTCAACCACCGCCAGGACGACTGGGCAGACTGGCTCCCACTAGCAGAGTTCGCCTACAACAATCGCATCCACTCATCCACCCACCGGACCCCCTTTGAACTCGACACCGGGCAACACCCCAGGATGGGGACAGAACCCACCCGTATGTCCGAAGTGGAGGCTGCTGATGCCTTTTCATCAAGGATGATGAAAATGCAGGAGGAGGCGAAGGCAGCGCTAGAACATGCAGCAGACGAGATGGCCCGCTATTATGATCGGGGCCGTGAAGCAGCCCCCAAGTACCAAGAGGGTGACCAAGTCTGGCTCAATGCCCAGAACTACACGACCGACCGCCCCACCAAGAAACTAGACCACAAATGGCTCGGCCCCTTCAAGATAGTCAAAGTCGTCTCCCCTGCTGCTGTCAAACTCCAACTCACCGCACGACAGAAAGGGATCCACCCGGTTGTATCTGTAACAAACATCAGGCCCCACCACCTGGATGAAATCGCAGAACAACCCCTCGACCCCCGCCCGGGCCCGGAACTCGTAGATGGAGAAGAGGAGTACAAAGTTGAAAAGGTATTAGACTCCAAATGGCTACGCCGGAAACTCTAGTACCTGGTAAAGTTCACGGGCTGGCCAAACTCGGAGAACCAGTGGCTCCAGCGGGACCACTTAACCCACGCCCCCGACCGAATCGAGGAATTCCACAGAACGCACCCCCAAGCCCCCGGGAGAGAGAGGGAGAACCACCTGGCCGCTTCACGGCGAAGCGGCTTAAGGAGGGGGTGATGTCAGGGCACACCCGCCTGACCCGGCCCCACCTAACCCGGTGCCCCACCATCCACTCCTCCCGACCTCCCCCCTCTTCCCCTTTTCTCCCTTCCCTTTCTTCTTCTCCTTCTTTTCTATTCTCTCTCCTCTTTATTCCTTTCTTATCACATGGACGACTTCCTTTGTATCAATGTACCATTGACCCAGCTGCAGTGTAACGCACCCGAACCCGGACACACCGGACGACCCCCCGCATACCGGACGCCCCTAGGACCTCTTACGGAGGTACCCGGACGGAGGTGGCTGTGTGCTCGGATGATGTGGCGCTTCCCACATGGCCTTCAACCACATGTATATAAACACAGCCTAAGTGGGAACTGAGAAGCAACCTTCTTCTCACATTTCCCACTTTAGGCAAGTAGCTTACACTTCCTTTGATAATAACAATAACACATTTCCCATTTTAGTCCCAGTGGCCAGGGACCCTTGTCTGCTTCGGGCCCATTGTTACGCACGCCTGTGTCATACCTACTGGATCCTCAGCTTCAGGCGATACACCCGGGCGCTCTCGACCCCGGGTCGGTCCCTGACAGCACGCACATGGGCTCGGGATCAATGTCGGACAACAAACGGATGCTAAGGCCTCCCGGCCTTACTCTTTTGGCTTGAGCTTGATGCACTCTGGCGCCGTGAGATCAGGTATGGTCACTAACCCTAAAACATTCCCCCAGTATGTCCTGCAAAGATCATGTGCCGAAAGCAAAAATAGTTCAAAAATAGAAAACCTACAAAACCCCCCTGAGATGAGTGCAAAAGGAAATATACACGTGATCAGGGCTG